GGAGAAGGAAAACTCCGATTTCAAACCTCCACTGCCTTGTGGCTATATCCACCGATGGAAAAGGCTTCAGGAGTTAACCTCGAGGCAAAATCCGGAGCTGGAGTCCCGAAGGCAGCTCGTGTCGTTCTGCCAACTCCTGCGACGTTGCTGGAACCAGTCGTATTGGCTCTTGCCTTTCCATTGGACCATTTCAGCAACGTGGAGAGGGGGGATTTGCTGCTTGGGTAACAGCCTATCCTCCATATTACCTTACCCGGGCTTCATGCTCTGGAGAGGACACTCCTCGATTCAGAGCATGTTACCATAGTCTCTCGAGACTGAAGGATGCCTATGATGATGTAGTTACCCTTCTTCTACATACTGTGTATTAGGACTCAGCTTGTCATTTGGCAAAACAAAGTAACTGTCTTAGCTGGCAGATAGCAAGGGACAGTGGTTGTAATTAGAGATGGGCACGAATTGAATCATGCTGCTTCATACGAACCACCCCGTGCAGCACCTTCCCCACAACTGGCTAGCCCACTCATATTTTGTCATATGCTGCTGGGCGCCAGTATGGGCAGGAGCTCTGGCTGCCTTTCCCCGCCTCCTCCAGCAGCCAACCACTCAGGTTAGGAGGTGGGATGGGGATTCTCCCTGTGCAGCCATGGTGTGGTTGGCTGCTGGAGGAGGTGGGGCAGGGCAGCACGGGCTCCTGCGTGCACTAGTCCACTGTCATAGAAGGAGGACTCCGGCTGTGCACAATGAAATGTGAGTGGGTCAGTTGGCCAGCGGCAGAGGGGAGGGAAAGCACAGCACCTGTGATCCCATTTGGGGTGGTTTGTACAAAGCAGTACAATTTGATTTGTGCCCATCTCTAGTGGCAATCCCTAACTCTTCCACCTAGCCCTCTATTCAGAACTGTGTGTAGCACATAGGACACCCTAAACCCCATAAACCAGCCCACTGTTCCCAGGTTTATCTGAGAACACTGTTTTCAGTGTTAAAGGTTGAGTGCAGTATTCACCTGCCAATCCAGTCAGCTGCTGGACTGTTTTGCTCTGTATATATGTATATATGTATATGTGTGTGTGTGTGTGTGTGTGTGTGTGTGTGTGTGTGTCTGTCTGTCTGTCTGTCTGTCTGTCTGTCTGTCTGTCTGTCTGTCTGTCTG